CTGGCTTGCTTTGAAAGTCTGAAGAATACTTCCACACTGCTGAGGAGTGCAGGATCAGCACGTGACTATCCTTAAGATACACCCTTGGGGGGAGGGGGGAGTTCCAGGTGCCTTTATAAGCTCTGTAATACCTGTAATAAATGAGTCCCTGCTTGACTAGGCTCCCTGTTGCATCTGAGTGTCCCTGGGTATTGGGGGCAGTGTGGGCTGGCGAACAGCTTGCTTACTCATCCCCAATCATCACTGCGCCGGGGGTCGCTGTTTCGAACCCCCGGCACCAACTTACTACTATTGTTCAACTAAACTGACATAGTATCAAACTTCTTTCCAAATATGGATGTTTGCACACAGATAAACCTATCCTCAGCCTTGTTCAGGGAAGCCTCTTTTCACAGTGACTCATAGCTGCCAAGATGCTAAAAAGTGATGGCTGAGCATTCAACTCAAAAAGAGGCATTTGTGTCACCCACTGTAAGGTTCCAGGAACATTGTGGAAGAGGAGGGCAGTAAGAATGAAAGGGCCCTAATATAGGGAGGACTGTCAAACCATTGCAATCATGAAACCACAGCCAGTGCTGTTACTTGCACTGGGTCTGCACAAGGCTGGCCTTTTCAACAGTCAGTCAGGGATAGGGAGGGGCAGATGGTACTCTATGCCTTACCACTATTGATAGACTCTGGAAGAGTGAGAGCTGTTGCTTTCAGCTGTGCACTTACTGCCAAGCCCACCAGGCTCCAATGGATAGCTCCAAACTCACCGTAATTCATATGGCTCTGGTTAAACTCAGTAGGTCACAAAAGAAAACAGACATGAATGTAAGAATGAGATTTGTAGAGGAGAGGGGGACTAGACAGGGTGGGAAAGAGAGAAGGTGGGGGGACTAGATAGGGGTGGGAAGGAGAGAAGAGGGGGGAAGGAATCAGCATGTATTAACACATGTATGAAATGCCAAAGAACAAATTTAATTAAGAAAAAAAAATATATGGAAGGCTCCAGAATCCTCACCAAAGGATCTGTGCAAAATGGTGGTTGTTTCTTTCATGGAAATCTGTTGTTTACCATGCGGGTATAACAGAAGATCCAGGCAGGATATAACCAGGTATCCTTGAAATAATGTGGGTTAGGAGGCAGAAAAATGTGGAACAAAGAACCAGGGTGAATAACTGACCTATTGCATAGTCTACTTAGAGCTGCCGGTTTATTCCCACCTCAGGCTCACTGCTGTTCAGAGAGGTAATACTGTCACGTGTTGTTCATGAACTAAAACTATTATTGGCTTTAAGAGACTTACCTCTCTGTTCATCAAGTTCAACTTTTCTCCTAGGTAGGAGTTGGCTACGATAAGGAGAGCCTCATCAGGCCACTTCTGGAACCAGTCGATTGTGCAGGAGCTGATCATAGAAGGGTATGTTCTACAGTTTTGGCGGAAGTTAGATCCTGCAGGACTCATGATAATAAATATATGCAGATTTTTAGACACTCTCTGGAATGGTTGAAAATATAAGCTGTTAAAACAAAGTCTCTGACTTTGAAAAAGACATTATTTTGAACATTCCTTTTAAAACTTGTTTCAATTATTTCCTTAAAGGGTAAGCTAGAGACTGGCTGTCAGCAACAGAGCTCTTCCAGGGGAAACTAGGAGCCCCAGGGAAAGAACTCTTCCGCTCCCTGTCACCCTAACCTGCTATCTTTAGCTGGTGGATCTAGCACTGAACTCTTTCAAAACACATTTTTATTGGATTGTTTTTCAATTTTCATATGACTTGATAGCATTTAGATCCTCTCCCCCAGCCACACCTCCCCTTATTGCCCCTATGTATATGTATACAGAGAATATATTATACATTCCCTCTCTCAGGTTTAATATATATAATATATATATATTATATATATTAAGGTCTATAGAGTCTAATTTGTGTTCATAAATGGCCTTCAGTGTGAGTCCATCCAGTGGAACCTGGTTAACCTACTAAGAGTCCCATCCCTCTCTCTCTCCATCCCAGCAGCCATTGGTCAGCAGCAACCCTTACGAGGGAAACCCTGTTCAGCAGGGGACCTTCTATCAGACAGTGTTGGGTCTGATTGCTTAACTCGTTTCTCTGGGGTTCTGTGCCTTTCCAGACCCACAGAAACTCAAGGAAAGAAAGCAGTCAGATGAATTAGAGCTGAAGGAGAGAAACAAGAGCCCAGTAGAAAGGATAGAACTCCAGAGACAGTGGTAATGGACTCTTACAGAGCATGGTTATGGCTAGGCAATTAGGTGCTACAGAATTCTGTATGGGTCCTAGGCTAACTGCTAGTTTCTTTGTGGTTTGCCTGCATCCATTTTGCTCTTAAGACCCAGCTGTGCTGCTGCTGTTCATGTGTTATTGGCAAGCCTGGCCATAGGACCCAGACCCTCTCCTTCTTATTTCCACATGTCACTTTACAACAGATCCACATTACTGGAAGGGCCTCACAGTCAGCATTCCTCATAACTCAGGGGCCAACATGTGGAACTTAATAACATCTCTAAATATCAAGCAATGGTGGAGGCAGAGGCAGGAGGACCTCTTTAAGATCAAGGTCAGCCTGGTCTACATAGTGAGTTCCAGGCCAGCTGGGGCTACAGGGAGATCCTGTCTCAAAAACTGGATGAATAGGACTCAGCTTGTATGACAGAGTGTATAGGGTTTGGTGGGAGGATAGGGGGAGGCCTGGATAGGGATGGGGGTCTGGATTTGAGTGGGATATGTTGTATGAAATTTTAAAAGCTCAATAAAATAAATATAAAAAAGAGAAAAAATAGTTTACACTGTGCCTTTGTTATTGTGTAAGATGCAGCAAATTATTTATTTACTTTTTATACATGAATATTTTGCCTAAATGATATAAGTGCACTCATGTCATATAATGCCTATGGAGGCCAGAAGAGGGTGTCAGGTTCCCTGGAACTGCATTCAGGGACAGTTGTTAGTGGCTATGTGGGTGCTGGGAACTGAATCCGGGTCCTCTGGAAGAGCAGCCAGTGCTCTTAACTGCTGATCCGTCTCTCCAGACCCACATCAAGTCATTTTTGGAAACACTATAGTGCGGCTTCTAACTGAGATTCTTGGCTTATTATTTTTGTTGTGTACTATTCTCTAAATCAGATCCTTTTCCATATCTCTCAGTCTATTCAGTAAACTAATTATACTAACAAGGCACTGGTGTGCTAGGGATGATCCGTACAAATACTGTCCTCCTTTCTACTACAGCCTTTAAAACCGTAACACGAAGCGGGTATGTACTCTTATGTCTGTTTTATAGAAACTGTGAATTCCATTTCTGGGACTAAAAAAGTCTTCTTGTAGCAGATACTTAGCATCTGTTGGGGAAAGGCCAGTGGCTAGGTTTAATTTTCAAATACCCTTAGACAAAAACAGGCACAGAAAATAAGCTAACATGTGGTACCTGCCCAGTGTATGTTCTGATTTGGGTCCATTCACTAAGCCATTGACTATGCAGTGTTGGATAATCAAGGCTAAGAGACAAGAAAGATCTAATTCTCATTATAACATAATGAGGAATCCAGTTCTTCCTTTTCAGATAAGTAGGTATTTTTCCCAAATTGATAATGTAGTTCATAATCTCCTAGAGATGATTCCTTAGGCAAAACACATTTAATGAGTTTCATCATGCTGGACAGATAAAGGCCCAGATCTTTGTTGAGTCTGTATCTGTCACCAAATAGATCTTTCACAGTTTCCGTGCTGCTGACCTCTTTTTTGCTCTTTTAAGTCAATTTCTTTCTGTCTATTTTGCCTCCTGGTCAATTCTAAGGTTATTCAAAAAGATGAAAGAATTCATCTTGCCTTCCCAACTTGCTACCAATATAGCCAAAATGAAAAGCTTAACTAGGGAGGAATCTTCAAGTAAGAAATCATCTTGGGATTAAAAAAATTATTGTCTACAGTTGCTACTATTGTTTTTCTAGGAAAAAACAGCCATTCAGACTCAGATCTGTCAATCTTGGGCTTACCTAGGGCATGGGATGTCTGTGTATAGGAGTGTAGACATTAGTTCTCAAAAACTCACTTGAATAACTAAATGATATATCACTTGAAAATAATGTACAGAGTTATAAATATGGTTTGCTTTTAATTTACTATGATAGTTTGATAAAACCAATCCATAAAACAGTACCTTTTGGAAAAATGAAAGTAAAGATTTTCTATCCCCTGTATAATCAGACTGTTCCACAAAAGATCTAATCCTCATTATAATAGAATCCAGTTCCTCATTTTCAAATAAGTTAGGTATTTTTCCTGCATTGATAATGTAGTTCAAATCTTCCAGAAATGATTCCTTAAGTGAAAAACACATTTAGTCAGGAATAAGTAAATTATATATTCTACCTTAAATAAGTTGGGAATGCAACAGTATTTAAGGATAACTGAGGCCATTTATTATAAAAGATAATATCTTAATTCAAACTCATCAAAGTAGTTACTCTGAGTCAAAATAAGCATCGTCTATCCATCCATCTACTCAAACATTACTTGGTATATGTACTTGGTATTGACCGTATACCAAGCACATGTGTTAGGGATGAGCATGGGAGTAACCTGGGCAGACTTATTTCAAGTAGTTCATAGAAGCCCTCAGTACATGTACATTTGTGTTTAATAGGAGACAAACTAGAAATAGCACATCAAATGGATTATTTTAATTTAGCCAAGTCCCACAGCCCGACCCCCACCCCCACCCCAATGGTCTCAAACTTGTAACTTTCCTGCCTCTGGCTCCCTAAGTGCTGGAGTGCCACCATCAAGGCAGGAACCACCATGACTGGCTTTAATCAAGTTCATCTCTATCTATATAGAGTTCCAAATAGAATGGGGAAGGTAACAAAGGCAAAGCAACCTTATCAGAAGAGTTGTCGTAGAACTATAATCATTTTAGTTTTGAAAAGAAATCAAAGTATTCTTAAAACAACAACAGCAGCAACAACAAAATGCTGACTCCTTTAAGACCTTCCTCAGGCCCTTATAGGTTAGGGAAAGGAAAATAAATTAGGAAGGGCAGGGCAAAGACCCGTGGACAGGCTGCAGTGGAGGCTGACAGAGGTGCTGAGCTAGCTGACTTCTGCCTCACCCGATGGGTGGAGGACTGAGAAGCCTATTCAGCACACTGGTGGTGTTCTGAAAAAAGCGTTGATTAAATTAGAACAGTGCATGGCAGAAATGACATCTGACACCTGGACAGAGGTGGGATAAACTTCAAGCAAGCACGATATTCAAATCTGGGGAAGGAAGAATACACAGAAAAAGCAGAAAAATTGGATTTTATGAAATACGGAAGATGAGATATGGCCCTTGGTTTACTATCAAATATGACATCAAGCCAAAGTTAACTTTTGGCAGAGACTCAGAATTAGGAGAAATAAATCAAGTGAAGGTTTTAAATAATATTTAAAAGTCTATTTGTCAGAATACAAGTCATATACAGTGTTCCCTTGAATTTGGTCATAAGGTGTAAATAAAATATGAAGTGACATTCCTAGTGATGTTCTGGTTGTAAAAGGGCATAATTTGTGAAAAACAGTGCAGCAGTTTTCACTTGTATGAAACACAAAATCCTACAGAGAGAATTCTAACCCTGATAGCAAAGGACAAAGAGAAAAGTTGTGTTAACGGTCGATGTTGCTAAAGCACACTGCAGACGGCACACGCCTCTGTAGACTGACCACAGTGTGGGCTGCAGAGGATATGAAAATACATTACAAACTAGCTCTGATATAAAATGGTTGATTTTGCTACCAGGATAAGTCACTTCCAATCTGTCACTTAAAATGCAAATGATAAAGACAGGGACGCTTCTGTTGTGACGTTTACTCAAAACTATGGCGAGATTACAGTAAAAAAGTCTGTTAGGTATGACCAGGTGAAGGCAGAGAAAGAATTGATGTGGTAGGCTGAGGGGATATACAATACACAAACATCTTCTTTTTAAATGTGAAATTTCTTGGGAGGCATAAGTACCAAACTTGAGCAAGCAATGAAAACACAAAGTACTTACTTGCTCTTGCTGTAAACTGGCAACCATGACAACGGTGGGGATCCCTTTCAAGCCTGCTTGAATTATCATTTTTTTCAACATTTCTTTGAATTCTATGTAGGCGTAATTGTGAGATACAGGCACGCGGTACAGTTTATGTTCTGCCACGTAACAGGCTAAGGTTGCATAAGTTTCTTTCCCACATCCATCAATTCCAATCTTTGGGAGGAAAAACAACAACAACCCAACATTTGATTGGCATGTCTTGGAATTAGGGGTTTAGCTCAGTGGTAGAGTGCTTGTTTGGCAAGTACAAAGTCC